CATTGTTCACAAGGTTCAAGCAATTTTCCTCCCATTCAAAACCCCCTTCCACTCCCACATTCATTCATACACATGCAGTTATTTTTTGAAGCAAATCCCAAACTGCTTCAGATATCAGAAGTCATCAAATACAAAAGACGAGTTATCATATTAATTTCCGAATGTTAAAAAAAATGCGTCTCATACACAAATATATACCGTAAATCAGAACATTTCGGTCAGTCCCGAACCGAAACATTTTCCGCTTCCGGATCACGATTCACCTGCTCCTGATGGTGGTGGCAGAAGGAAGTAACGTGTCACGCAATATTTCCTGCTCTCTTCCTCCCCCTTCTCTCAGTCTTTGGACTTGTTTAACCTAACCCTGATGTGGGAAAAATTCCTTTGTCCACCCACTACTTCCTGACACAATGACTATAGACCTGGCGTGCGAGTCGAGATTCTCGCGTGTTGCTCATGAACGCGTCTACGGAATAAAAGTCGGATATCCTCAGTAACTGACTCCACCCTCAGCGAGGCTCATTCCTTCGTTTCCGTTGGACACGCTGGTGGACTTTGAGGCTATAGCATTGAATTTGGGAGGAAGTGACCAGTTATTGCCCCGCACGTGGCAATAATAATGACAGGATGAGGCACACACATTCACTCGTTTTTGTTATAGCCTGTAGGTATTGTCTTTGCGAGGTTATAATTGACTGGATGCACATGCACATTCAAAAGAGTTGAATGAATGAATGAACAGAACGCTTTATTTTCTGCTTTTCAGCATTCACAAGGTTCAATCAACATTCCCACATCCAAACCCCCTCCCCACCCAGCCTGAATTTATTCAAATGCATTCAATCACTTCAGAATGGGAAACAAAAAAAGCTGTGTATGGATACCAAAATAAAAGCAAATACATGTAAGAAAAACCAAAATAAAATAAAAGAGTATACCTGTATTTAATTGAGTACCACGAGAACTTTCTTTACAAATTTCAGAAGGAAAAAGAGGGCATGCTGCATAAGAGGGTATAAAATTTTTCAAAATGTTAAAAGTTTTGGTTTGCATAATACAGTATTTGATTATTGTAGGAAAAATGTTACAAATTTCAATGCAGGATTTGTTTTTTTTAATATAAAAACAATGGAAAAGTAATTCAAGTTGGGTTCAATTCCAGTCAACATTTTGAATTGCATGTGTTTCACAGTCAAACCTCTCTAAGTAGAATTTCAAGGGAACAGAAAAACATGTGACTCAGGAAGCTTTGAATTATCTACAGTTTTGAGTTACAGAGCCAAGCACTTCTGTTGTGGGAAACAGACGAATTGCAGGAAATTTCGAATGATGATATTCTGTGCGTTAAATTGCTTCCTAAATAAGTTGACAGGATGCTGAACTTGGAGACAAGGGTCCATTGGCCCAATTTACTCCTTCAATTTGTTTCAAAACACATCAAATTTATTTTTATTGCTTTCATCATTCCTGTGTCAATAATATAATGACTGAAAGACTTCAGAAATTTGACACAGAGGTTTGAGAGGAACAGCCTTTGAGTTAGAATGATTTTTAATGCGTTTTTTAAAAAGAAAAATTTAGACAGGGAGTTGCAAACATTTGCCTTGGGGAGATATTTGACTTATAGGGGGGGGGGGGATTCAAGTTATTGAGGTTCTACTGTATTTTCAAAACTTCGCCAACTTTTAGTCACTGAACATTGGGTGCAAACCATCATATTCAGGAATATGTTTTTATTCAAATTTCTGGACCAGAAAACTGGGAGTACGTGGTAGTCCAGTAAATACGGTTAAATATGCGATAAATGTTCAGCTATCTTCTTGGACCCTTTTTTTTTTTTAACAAAAGAGAAAATGCACTTGGCATTTAATTTCCTTTCATGCGTGCCTTCCTGTGACACCGGCAAAGGATGTCGGGGGGAGGGAACCGGAAGCCGCATGCATCGACCTGGAAACCCTCCGGAAGCTCGGGCAGAAAACTTGCAGGAAGTTGTGAGGACAACTCGAATAAATGGCTCATTACATCCTTTCTCTTTAAATCGAAGCACATGCTTTTTGTTCCATCCTCTGATTATTTTCCTTTAAATCGAGTGGATGACATTACAAAACATGTAGTTCCGACAGGAAACTAATGTATGGGATGTGGTTCCGTCGTTTCCTCTCTATTTTCTCCAGATCAATCACTATCATATTCGTCCTAGATCTGCGTATACTTTTTAAATAATTTTTCATCAACTTGTCACTCGCTCAGCA